AACCAATAAACCATTAAACCATTAAACCAATCATTTCCCCCAATGGACCTAAACCATTAAACCAATAAACCATTAAACCAATCATTTCCCCCAATGGACCATTAAACCATTAAACCATTAAACCAATCATTTTCCCCTATAGAGAGAGACACATCCCTGTATGGGCCGAAAGCATAATGGTTTAATGGTTTAATGGTTTAGTGGTTTAGTGGTCTAGTGGTATGGAGCAAACGGATTGGTTTAATGGTTTAATGGTTTAATGGTTTAGTGGTTTAGTGGTATGAAGTAAAGGGATTGGTTTAATGGTTTAATGGTTTAGTGTTTTAGGTGCATTGGGGGAAAGGATTGGTTTAATGGTTTAATGGTTTAGTGGTTTGGTGGTATGGGGTAAAGGGATTGGTTTAATGGTTTAGTGCTATGGGGCAAAAGGATTGGTTTAATGGTTTATTGGTTTGGTTCCATTGGGGGAAAGGATAATGGTTTAATGGTTTAGTGATGGGTCTAGGGCTGCCTACTACGCAGGTGTCCTGGTTATAACCGGGGACAGAGGTTATAACCAGGCTGCAAAATACGTTCAGGGTTTGAAGACTCCCGCCGTGCCCTATAGATCAAATGGATTGGTTTATTGGTTTGATGGTTTAAGTCTTCCGTGTCGTATCGCGCAAGCGAGCCGGTATAATGGTTTAAGTCTAAGTCTCCCCCAAACCCTAGCGCCAAACCCTAAGCAGTAAAACCCAAACCCAACACTTGATGGTGAACCTGCAATATTGGTAAACTGTGTCGAAACACCGGGGGGCTTACATACCAGGGTTGTGGTTTGTAAATTGGGGTGCCTTGATTGTTTGTTGCACAATATAAACCTTACGAAGCAAATCTGTGCCACCGCTACTTCATCAACACCTAGACCTAGATCCAAACGTTCGAAAGTTTCGGTGCTTCAGGGGAAATGTAACCGCAATGAAACTAAACAAGGACTAGAAGAAGGTCCGAGGTAATTGGCATGTATTCGGTTGTTGAGGCATGATGCAGTGATTTGTAACAAACATAATTCCAGGGACCATATGCGCATTCCCCAACTTTAGCGGAAAGGCTATATGGCGGACTTTACATAATGGTCTGTCCGTTTCAGTACATCGGGCTTATGAGACCTATGTTCACATTGAGAGAATAGCCGCTAACATGTCAATGACCCAGGAATCAAAATGCGGAAGATGAAGGGTCTCTATCGGGATTACAGTAGGTCAGTAAGTGTTGTCAACATTGGAATATCACGGTACACAAAAAAGTTGAGATACGACTGATGCGACGTCATTGTAGGGAGAGATAGTATATCAAAGCTTACAGCGTGGTCAGGTTTCATCACTTCGTACATAGGCGAACTGGTTGCAACGTTATGTTCAAACATCGTTCCAAGGAAGCAGGATTTCGATGAGATAAAACTGATAAGAATGTGTGTGGTGAGCGATTTGCAACTTGCAAACTGTTAGGTTTCCTCGCTCGGTACGTAGAAAATTCCTTGCAATGCTATTTCCAACTACATGGATGTACCTCTTTCGAGGAGTGATTCGGTGTGTGTTTACCACTTTTTCTAAAACGAGGAGCACGTTCTGGATTGGGAACAATGGCTTCTGTTCGACCTTCAGAAAATATTCACAAGAACACAAACAGAAATTCGGACAAGCTAGATGTAGCTTTATGGTTTTCAGTGAGCTTTACGTGATGGTTAAGGTATGCTGATACAAAAAGCACAGGCCTCATCTCTGAGCATATAGAAACAGTGCCAAGCCTAAGAAGCGACGCTTCATGTCGTCCCCCAGGAAAAACACTGTACAAAGTTTGCCAAGCTTGTAGTGTGCAAGTTTTCAAGTTTGGCTTGGGGCAGCCGTCATACAGAAATAAGGAATGCACCACTCAAATATACCTACCGGATATACCAGTGTCTACAAGCAATCACATGGGGGCACAGGGATATGTCATTGAAAGCTATCAGTTTGCCAAAACGTCATAGCAATGCGCCCAACAACAGAGATTTTGATGGGATTGCGGCATTACAGTACAAAGATGGAAAACTTTTCGTTCCAAAATTTAGTTCGCGATAAGGAATGACTGAACCAGACTAATGACTACAGCACGCTTGTTGGAAAAAACTGAAATATCGATAATGTATACCTGATTATAAATTATTCGAACGGTTATAACCTAGTCGGCTGGTTATAACCTAATCGGCTGGTTATAACCTAGTCTGGTGGTTATAGCTCAGTCAGATGATGTAGCGAAAAACGTAGGGGACCCCAAATAGGGGTGCGCCCGAACTTATATGTATAGTTACCTGATATATAACCCCAGCTACTAAGTCCCATGATCCTTTAAAGTAAACCCTGCGTTTTATGTCCGCAGGATAGAGGGCAAGTTGCATCTTCTTCAAGTGACTTCCTTTCTTTCCCTGGAGGTTGTGTTGGATTCATGCAAGCTCAAATGCAACCTCACCGAGCGTAGCCCAATAGCCAGCAAAGACCGAAACATACTGTTGATGAAATAAATCTTGCATTACCTTCATGAAGCTAAACTATGGCAGTTATGGCATAGTCTATATTATGGGTAGCGCAGGATTTATATCATCAGCCGTATCATAAAGACAAGTTTCAAGCGTTGGTGTACTTGGACGTCTTCTGAACCTTTCGATTCTGCTAACCCCACCTGCCTTTGCAATGAAAGTTGAACTTACAAGCGGTCTCGGGCAATCCACTGAAAGACGTCTTGCGGTGAACAGGAGCTTCGTTTTGCATCCTGAGGGCGCATGTCAACGTGAGCACAGCCTCGTGAGGCACCAGGAGCCTGCACTGCTACTCTGGCAGACAGCACTATGCCACAACATGGATTGAGAATAATTACCTATACTATTTTCGGGGGTTCCTTGCTCTAGTTCATATCCCGAAACCCAAGTCTAAATATGGTATAATACACCCAAAACCCTATTCTAATTACTAAGGTCCCTTCCAGAGAGGTCGTCAGCTTCCCTCACAAGGTCCAGTGACAGGATGCGCTCGAAGTCAAAAGACACGACATGTGAAACCCAGAACACCGATCTTTTTCCCTGAGCCCTGCTCTAAGCCCCGAGCCCACTACTTAGAGGATCATGGGACTTAGTAAGTAGGTTATAATTGGGGTTATAAGTCCACTAAGTGGGGTTAGCCCTGCTCTAACGCCATCATCCTCAAATCCAGCTCTACTTCCTCCTATTCTGGGTTCTTGTCAGGGAATTTAATTTGACAGGGAAAGCCTACTAGTTAGTTATGGGAAGTAAGATTTTAAAACAATATCGATAAAAAGAATCCAGATTCAGGTAAACCCTAAACCCTAAACCCCTAAACTCTAAACGCTAACTTTCTCTCCAAGCTGCCCGATCATCTCAGCTGTTGAACCCATCAAAATGCGACCTCCGAGCAGGTTTGGCGTTGGGACTGGGCCTTGAGGGTGGCGGGTTCAGGATTACATGATTATACCCTAAGTATAGGCTTTAGGGTTATACCTCGAAGTCGAGGGTTTAGGATCATACCCTAAGTTTAGGGATTTAGGGTTTTGGGGGTTTGGGGGGTTCAGGATTATACCCTAAGTTTGGGATTTCGGGTGATACCTCTAAGTTGAGGGTGTGGGCGGGTTTAGCGGTTTAGGGTTGAAGGGCTGAGGCTTTGGGGTTCAGGGTTTAGTGACTATTTTCGGGGTTCCTTGTCATGATGCATTAGCATAATGGGCCCCAAAACCCTAAGGAACCCTATAGATCCCTTTAAGAACCCTCACCAAGTCCCCTGATCCTCCAAGTATATGAAACCCCTAGGCCCCGAAGCTTCCTGGATCCCGGCTCCCAGACGGCCCCTAAACTCGGAAACTCCAAATTTTAGGGGGGGGCCTTAATATTTAGAGTAGGCTTCCCTTAAAAGGCTCTTATGAAAGGGTCTAGAAGGATTCCTGTATGGGGCATTATGGGGGGGCTTAGTATAGGGGCCTACAAAATTAGAATAGGGTTTTGGGGCCCATTATACTATAATGATAATAAGGAACACCCAAAATAGGATTCGCAACTATTTAGGCCCCTATATTAGCTACTGCGAGGTTTAGGCTCTAATATATGGGCCTTAATAGTTAGAATAGGGTTCCTTGTAAATGGGTCTGTAAGGAATACTATGAGGGATGTTGTGGGGTTTAGAGTTAATAATTAGAACAGGATTTGGGGCATGTTATACTGTAAAGATAATTAATCAGGAACCCTGGGAATGATATTATTTGGGCCCCTATATTCGGTGGATGGCTCAGCCTCTTGCAGTAGAAGCCCAAAAGTTGGAAACCCCGTAGCTTCAATCTTGAAGAGTAATGTATAGCGAACTCCAGCACTATTTGGCCTTATTCCGGTTTCCAACTTTATAGAGTCTGCTGTATGGAAAGCCACTGGGCTCTTGTTGAGGATTTGAGTTTCAGTTCCCAAGTATGTATCGCAAATCATGGTTTCCTGCTTGTAACGACTACTTTGGGTTTAGGGCTTAGGGTTACCATAATTGGGATCTACAGTAAATAGCATGGCTTCCTTGTAATGGTAAGGGTAAGGCCCAACCTGGTTCTCTCGGCTGCTTCTTTTTGCCAACCTTGCGTGTGCACGTCCAGGCATCCCAACGGAATCTACAGCTTTTCAGAAAATAAAAAACAAATTTAGGGTTGGGCTTCTACTTGCGGAGCTTAAGGTTTAGTCTCCAGGAGGTATGGGAAAGGTTAGCTGCGTGGGGCTCCAAGACGGTTTTCATCTCAAATCCCTTGAGATTCCAGGGGGTATTGCTTTTCCCGATGCGGGAAAGTTCACCACACCTGATTGCATCGAAGATCGTGGAAGAAACTGTTTAATTATGCCCGGATGTTTCGGAAGGCAAGAATCGCAGTGAAACAGAAGTGTCTCTGACACGGTTTCGTTGCTGCACGCCAACTTGCGAATCTCTGTGAAACTTGCAACATTACTACAGGGAATATGGTATGAGCTCCGGATTCATTAAAATTTTTAAGATGTCGTACTTTCGGATGAACTCCCAAGCCGCGTTCGTGTCTGTCTCCAGTACGTGCATGGGGCAGTAATCGTACCCAAAGCAGAAGCGGTCTCTTTCGGCGTTGCCAGAGGATGCGCAACCACAGGTCTCCGGACACCACCATGCCAAGGGCAGGTTATAGATAGTCCCTCTGCATACGAGGTTGCCACCATAGTCGGTGGGAGCAACGGTCAGAATGGGGCAGCCCACCTCCATCGCGGCTCCCACAAGCGAACGGAAGCTCTCACTTTCGTAAGCCACAGCAGAGTTGAGATGTGCGGCTGACATGAAAGCAGCGTTGCCCCAAAAGTGGCGCCAAGCCCTCCCGGGAGGAGTATCTTTGCAGGCCGCCGGGAAGCTCGGGAGCCGACCGAACGAAGGACTCCCGGAAAACATGGAGAAGCCGTACCTTAGGCCCCCTCTCAGCCCATTCCCATCTTTTTGAAAGCTTAAGGTTTCGGATTTACGAGAATCCATTCCCTAACCCCCAAGAAAAACATATCTGTTTAACGACGTACAAAAACGTAGCTCCTAATGCAAAGGTCTGGCATTTCGGGCTTTCCGAAAATTAGGGGTACCTTATTTTGGGGTCTTTATAATAAGGATCCTACTATTTAGGGTACTGTATTAGGGCCTCTTGTTTTTGGAAACTCCCATTTGGGTTCAGGTGCCGCTGCTGGATGCAAGACCTGCGGCAGCCATGGCGTGGTGTCCTGAAAACCGGCGACGAATTGGGATCTGTACCTTGCTTAGAGGATCACAGAGCTCAGCAACCAGGGTTGCAATACGAAGTTAACCATAACTATAGTTAATTATACCCCCAATTGACACACTTATAGCCTTAGTTGCAAAGTCCCAAGATCCAAGTGCGTGCCATCCTATAACACGACATGCCCTCTTTGGTGCTTTCCTGGTTGTCCCCAAGCCTAGAGTGCTACGGAGTGAACCCCCCAGAGACTCCAAAACCCCTTAATTAAGGCGCGCGCGCCTAAAAAAAACTACCCTGAAGACAAAACCTACAGAGGAGCGGCCGAGGGAAGTGTACAAAAGTGTGGCAGGCGCAGCAAAATCGCACGTTTTGACCTTCCCCAGCGGTATTGTGGCAGAAGCAAAAACGGGACACGATTTCTGGGCGCCCTAGGCGACCATCAGTGCTATCATCATCGATGTCAACATCGCTATCATCCTCACAGCCACCATCGATATCACCATCATCTTCATCATTCTCATCATCATCGTTATCATCATCGTCATCAATGTGTTGAGCAGTGGGCTTTTTGTGTGCTGGGAAAAGCCGGCCTGAATTTATTCTCCGGACCTGGGCTGCAAAGCTAGTCTTACGGCAGAAGGCGAAAACACTGGTGGGGCCGATGACTTTGAAGGTCGCGGCAAGTTTGTTGAGGTTTGTGGGTGGAAAAGGTATGGGGCAAAAGGTCTTTGCACAGTCACCTTTGCCAGATCGCTAGGTCATCATCATTGCTACCACGATTGTTATCATCATCGTCATCATCATCGTTATCATCATTGCCATCGCCATCGATATCATCGTGACCATCGTAAGTTTCATCATCATCGTTGTCTTCCTCGTCGTCAACATTTCGAGCGGTGTTTTTTTTTAGGCGCGCAAGCCTTAATTAAGGAACATACCGTAAATTATAATTGGATTCCTAATATGATGTAGGGGTATATCCCTTAATTAAGCGGTTTTGGAGTCTCTGGGCCTGCCTGGCTTCCAGCTTCGCAATCCAAAAATGAGAATGCACCAATATAGTGCGAGGCACATCCACAAGCTCTGGGGCAAGCGAAGCGCAGCCATGTTGCTGCTGTCGAATACAATCTCATGGAAGTGTCAAAATCAAAATTGTCTGAATCGCTGCAGTATGTCTTCAAAGCTTCACAACTTCTGTTTCCGGTGTGGCCAACCTTGTAGGAACAAGGTATTCTCTTCTGTTTGTAGTTCACAAGATACCAAGCAAAGTTATGTTTACCAATACAGCTGTCCCTGAACCCGTATTAAAGGATCATGGGACTTAGTAACTAGGGTTATAAATGAGGCAACTACACTTATAATTACTTATAACTCCAATTAGGGGACTCAGAATCTTACTTACTAAGTCCCCTGATCCTCCAAGAAAAAAACCTAAACCCTAAACCCTATAGATCTCTTTAAGGAACCCTATAGATCCCTTTAAGGAGCCCTTTAAGGAACCCTCACTAAGTCCCCTGATCCTCCAAGTAAAGGTGACCTCGAATGCTGCAGCTGCAAGGAAATCCGCCATTGAGCTCCCATCGCTGTCAGGGGGACATTCCTACAGGGCTTAGGGTTCAGGGTTTAGGGTTTAGTAACTCCTTTTAAGGCTTTTGTGCTGCAGGGGCCTTAAGACTTAGCAGGGTTTTGGGGCACAGTAGGTCTGTTCGTTCAGGGTTGGTAGGGCTCCTTTCTGTAGGTTTAGGGCTCACAGGGTTTCCAGGGGTCTACACGGTTTAGTCCTCCGGGCTTTTCGGGCTTTGTCTTTAGAGTCTATAGGGTTTTAGGTTAGAAGGGGTCCCCACCCTGTAATAGTGAACATAAGGATTATATAGGATTATATTAGGGCCCTATTATAATCCTATTATACCACTATTACAGGGTGGGGGCAGCTTCTAAGTTTTAGGGGTTAAGGTTTGTAAAGTTTTGGGCTTAGCATTTAGGTACAAGTATCTTTGACCCAACACGAAACCAGCATTTTTTTGTGGCCCCTTGAGCTTGTGATTAAGTCAACAGAAAATGGAAAGTATTCCTGAGGAGCACCCAGAATCCGCATATTCCCTTTTCCAGTCGACGTACTCTTGGTTCAGCATCGAGCGCATGCGAGAAATATCCGGCTCGACAGCCGGAGCGGCAAGCTTCACGGGAAAGTCTTCCGGGAATACCTTTTCCTGCACTGCTCTCTCAATGTATCTGTTTGCTGTGATGTTGCTTTCGGCAGGCTGGGTCGCGAATTCCCGCACGATGCCGTCCTTGAAACCCATGGCAAACTGCTGCTGCCCTCCACAGAGCTCATACTTCACCTGCTGGGATCTTGTTTAGGACCTCATACTTTACGTTACCAAAAAATCTAAGGCAACCCATAATACTATAAGTCGCGATGATAACAGGAACAAACACAGCCCCCTACACCCTAAACCCTAATAATAATAATAATAATAATGTTAGCCTGAAGCTCAATCCCTAACCCAGCCTGGAGCATGGTCTCTCTCAGTGGGGCCAAGATGAGGAGGTAGGGAAGGACCAGCGCAGCCGAGAGAACCGAGAAGAGCACCACGTTCCTATTCTGAACTTAGACCTCTAGCAAGAAGTCTAAGTTTAGCTGTTTCTTTAGGAGTAAAGGACCCTAAACCCTAAACCCTAAACCCTAAACCCTAGCAATAGTTAAAACGATTGATAAGTGCCTCTAAGGTTCTCCAATCTCGGAGAGCGACGGCTTTTCTTGATCTTCACAGGCTGCAGTATTTGGATCTTCTGCTGCAGGTTCGTGGGCACCAAAGCCGAGAAGATGAACTCGTCCACCTTACCGCTGGATAGTAGGGAATGGAAGAATGGCAGTAATTGTAGTTATGAGTTTAGGGTTTAGGGTTTAGGGTTGTGGGTTTAGGGTTTAAGGAAGAATGGTAGTAATAGTAGTTATAAATTGTACCCCATTCCTCCATTCCCTACTAACCAGCGGTAAGCCACATGCAAGACGGATTCCAACGCCACCGAGTTCAGCATCAGCTCGGTAATCGAGGTAGTGTGTCCCAACCAAATACAACCCGAGATCAGCAAGGCACAGGCCACGCAAATGCGGCCAAGGCAAACGCAGGACATCACAAACCCTCGCTGCCAAGACAGCTGCCAGAGCTCTTGCACAGAGTTGGATTGAGAAAGCCGTGCTTTGGACCAGGCACTGCCCAACAAAATGCCCTTCAGGACATACCTGCATCCGACCAAATCTAGCCTGATTTACTTTTTTCAGAATCACAAAAAGAAACGCATACTAATGAGCCCTGGCCCTAAATCCTAAACCCTACGGAGCCCTAAAGAGGCTATCTGGGGCTCAGCTTACGTTTGGTTAGTAGGGAATGGAAGAATGGTAGTAATAGTAGTGATAATTCTACCCCATTCCTCCATTCCCTACTAAACCCAAGGGAAGTATAGATCCCTTATGGTAACCCATCTATAGTCCTATAGATCCCTTTAAAGGAACCCTATAGATCCCTTTAAAGGAGCCTTACTAAGGTAAGTCAGGTACCAGATGCTCCGCAGCTCCTTGAAGACGCAGATGTTCCAGAGCAGGATGCACAAGACCGACAGCAAGACACCAGGCTGAAAGGATGGTAATTGAAAAGCTTCCTGGTTCATTGTTGGGATAGGATTACAATGTACATATTTGTATTTCTTATTGGTCTAAGTATCCATAAACATGCAAAATGTTACCCAACTACGACAAAGCCTCCTCCCCAAACTTGCTAAGGGCAAGGTAGCTGTTGATCTCACCTGAACGATACTGTGACACAGACTCTCTGCTTCTCGGCTGTTACTCCTGCTGCTGCTCCCACCCCTGTTAATTACTTCTGCAAGAGGCACGAATCATCTGCCTTGTTGCAGCTGTGTGTAGCTGGTCTAAGTTCACCAGTCTAGTAGACTGGGAACTCTCTGCTGCTTAAGCGCCCTTAGCACCATAAGTAACACCACAGTTCTAGTATGGCTTAATGCACTTTGAATGAAAAATGTTAGCAACGAAGATCGAGATTGACCATTTTGGGGCCCTAAACCCCTAAACCTCAAACCCTAAGTCCTTGAACTCAAAACCCTTATAGATCCCTTGAAAGGAACCCTTATACTAGCCTCAAAGCAACCCTTTAAAGGATCCCTAAGCTGCCCTAAACCCTTATAGATCCCTTGTAGATGTCTGAAAGGAATCTTACGTCCATTTTGGGTCGCTCACTGCCGCAGGGTTACCAACGAGTGCCACCTGAGCAGTCGAGAAGATCAGAGAGCCATCTTCATCGCAGACCTCCATGGTTTAGGAGGTTTGGGATTTAGGATTTTGGGTGGGTTCTTTATGGGGGAGGTCTATCTTCGAGCTTCGAGGGTTCAGGTACTTCTGGATCTTCTAGTTCTTCGGTGGGGTTTAAGGTTTAGAGTTCAAGGTACTATTTGGGAGTTTCCGAAAATAGGGGATTTCCTTATATGGCACACGCTCGAGTCAAAGTGCTTGCATAAGAAGAGAAATCAACAGACATGGACCTGACATAAGAAATGTTATTACTCTTATTGCTACTATTACGATTATTACCATCAGTAAAAGTAATTGTTTCTATTCTGAACATTACTACTACTACTACAACTACTACTACTACTACTACTACTACTACTACTACTACTACTACTACTACTACTACTACTACCACCAATACTATTACTGTTATTACTATGAACTTTCAAGTCTTTTCGGCCCAGCCTTGGTCGCAAGGCTCTTCTCCGCCAAGTCGACGTAGAGGTAGTCGTGAGCCTGGGTTTTTCTTTTTTGGGACCTACTTTGAGTTACCATATTTGTAGGGTTCTTTTAAGGGATCTATAAGGGCTGGTGCTTTTGGGATCTAATGTAAGTTACCATGGTAAGGGAACCATATTACGTCTGGTTTGGGGACTTGATTTAAGTAACCATAATTTGAGGGTTCCTTAATGGGAACTATAAGGGCTCAATATAGGGTTTAAGGAGTTACCATGGTAAGGAAACCATGTTATTTGCTGTAGATCCCGATCATGGTAACTTCAAGTAAATTCCTTAACAAGAACCCAGGAGCAAAGCTTCGGCGCCACTCTTTCGCACTCTCCAACTGCTCCGAGAAGTCTTCACCAAGGAACTCCGGAGACAAGAGGATGACGATGAAAAGGATCCTGTGTTCTTGTAAAGGAATTTAATGTAAGTGCCATTATAGGGATCGATAGAAAATATGATGGTTCCTTATTATGGTAACTTAAATCAAATCTCCTCGCCCCTAAGCCCTAAACCTAAACCCTCTATGGAACCCTTGTAGATCCCTTATAAAGGAACCCTAGAATTATGGTATCTTAAAAAATCAACCCCTTAACAAGAACCTAGGATCTGCATGGAGGCATTCAGCAGAAGCAGCAAACACGCGAAGATGCTGTCAGTCACCTCGGCTGACTTAGGGTTTAGGGTGACTAGGGTTTAGTTCAACTTTTAGCCTCCTTCTTATAGTTCATATAGTTCATATAGTTCATATAGAAATCCGCAAAAGCTCAAGTCCTGAGAGGCAACCAGAAGAACGCCAAGCTACATGGCTCCAAGTAGGGTTAACAAGAAGGTAACTACAATTACTTATAGATACTTATACCTAACCCCAATTAGGGTACTTATAACCATACTTACTAAGTCCCCTGATCCGCCAAGCTACATGGCTCCAAGAGAGAACCAAGGGGATGCTCCAGGCACTCTTCCTGTCGAAGCAAACCTTGGGGTCTCTGCACTTAAAGGATCATGGGACTTGGTAACGAGGGCTCCTTAAAGGGCTCCTTAAAGGGATCTATGAGGGTTCCTTAAAGGGATCTATGGAGTTTAGGGTTTCGGGTCTACTTAAAGGATCATGAGACTTACGAGTAGTATCTCTAGAAGGCTCCTTAAATGGTTCCTAGAAGGGATCTATAGGGGTTTTGGGTGCTTAAAGGATCATGGGACTTAGCAACTCTAAAGGGCTCCTTTAAAGGGTTCTATCGGGGTCTAGGGTGGTTAAAGGTCCTCAGTAGCCTGGCCCCGCAACGCTTAACCTTCCAAGTATGCTACATGGTTAGGATTTACAGTAGGGTTTGGGCTTTAGGGTTGAAGGTTGGGGCTTAAACTGCTCATTCTAGATAAGGTTTGGGCTTTAGGGTTGAAGGTTGGGGCTTAAACTGTTCATTCTAGATAAGGTTTGTGCTTTTTTTTGAACTCCTTTTCTCCACTTAAACTGTTCATTCTAGATACGGTTTGGGCGTTTTTTTGTTGAACTCCTCTTCTCCAGTTGCGGCAGTCGCAGCTCGAGAGAGGCTTCGGCTTTAGGGTTGAGGGGTTTGGGCTGAAACGGTTCATTCTCGTAGGAGTATATACAAACTCCCAAAGTTTAGGGTTTAGGGTTTAGGAGTTTAGGGTTTAGGGTATAGGGCTTAGGATTTAGGAGTTTAGGGTATAGGGTTTAGGGTTTAGGGTAAAAGGCTGAACGTTACCTCCGTGACGAAGAAACAATCTGCTCGCTCGGATCTTTCTCGTCGCCCGGCTCCTCGGAGACCAAAGCGGAAGCGCCCTTCTTGTCCTTGCCTGAGCCTGGCATTGGAGTAGGGTTCCTTTTAAAGGGGTCTATAAGCTACTATAAGGGAACTCTGAAGAAGTAGAATTAAGCTTTTGCGTACATTGTGCAATAGATTGAAAAAGGAAAACCCAAGATAGTATGGGTAAAAGAGGATCAGGGGATTTGGTAAGTGAGGTCGTAAGTGCTTTGATGGGGGGGGTATATGTATCAATAGAGCTAAACTAGGGCCTGCACACAGTAGTTCTTATAGCCATTTACACTTTAATGACTGCCTGGCCCCAGGCCAACTATTCTTGACCCTCGGCCAACATTTGTGACCCTCTGCCAAACATTTGTGGTTCCAGGCCAAACATTCGTGGTTCTACTATCAGTTTAGAGTTCTGTCTAGGATTCCTTTTAAGTTTCCGGTTAGGGTTGCGCTAAAGTCCTGTCTAAGGGTCCGCTTATGTTTCCGTTTAGGTTTCCGTTTAGGTCTGTTTAGGTGTTCGCTTAGGGTTCCGTTTAGGTTTCCGTTTAGGGTTCCGTTAAGGTCTCCGTTTAGGGTTGCATTGAGGTCGTGTAGGATTCCGCTTAGCTTCGTTTAGGGTTCCGGTAGCCCGAACCCTAGATTTTGTAGTCCGAACGTTAAAATGTTACTGCGACTACTAAAATAGTAGTCCGAACCCCAAAATAGCCATGCGAACCAAACCCGAAAGGTCACTGTTGAATAGGAACCGTTGACCCGACCTATGTGGGTGGGTGGGTGGGTGGGTGGGTGGGTGTTATATCAAAACCGTACATACATCTTTACTATATAATACTGCTCGATCCGAAGTTGCCGAGCCCTACATTTAAACCCGAAACCCAAACCCTAAACCCTAAACTCTAAAACCCTAAACCCTAAATTTAAACGCTAAACCCAAAACCACTCCCCTCAAGGGCTTTTGAAAGGCCTTCCACTGGGATGCTTTGCTCGCTGCCCGAGATGGAGATGCCCACCTCCTCCTGGGGCTTGCAGTTTCGGGTGCAGGGTTGATCGGAGGCCTCAAAAGGTGGGTTGAAGGTACCCTTATAGTATCCCTTAAAGGAACCCTTTAAAGGAACCCTATTCTAAGTATGAAGGTGGGATATTCCCAAATAAGAGTCCTAAGGGATCCTTAATCCTACCCACCTTCATCCCACCTTTCGAGGCCTCCGAGTTGAAGGGCTTGGGTTTAGGGTGTTGGCTTCCGGATTGTGGGTGTAGGGTTTAGGGTTTAAGGTTTAGGGTTTAGGGTTTAGGGTTTAGGGTGTAGGGTTTAGGGTTTAAGGTGTAGGGCGTGGGGTTTTAATCGTCGGCCCCTCATCTATGAAAGCTGCCAGCTGGCCATGCGAAAGCTGGATAGAGGCAGCCCACAGCCGTAAATTCTCAGCCTGGCACCCACCTCTGCGCTCTGTTAAACCCTAAGAACCCCATGCCCTAAATCTCAAAGCGGGCTCCTCCAGCTGCCTCTTCGAAGGCATCGGGTCATTCCAATTCGGGTTCTGGTTGCCAAACCTGAGAAAAGGATCCATCGCAAAGCCAGAAAGTTGGAATATGATTATCCTAACCCTTCTATGGTAAATTATAGGGTATCCTACCATGAAACCATACTCCAACTTTCTGGAGTTCCCTGTAAGGGATCCATCTCAGAGTTTCTTGCTTTTTAAGGATCCTGCAAGGGTTTTGCTTTGGGGTCCCTATCATACGGATCCTACTATTTAGGATACTTAAGTAGGGTCCCCTATTTTCGAAAATTAGCGGTACATTATTGGGTCCTTATAATAAGGATCCTACTAATTGGGGTACCATATTAGGGTTACCTGAAGGCTTCCTAAAAAGATCCCTTCAGGGAACTCTTCTAGAACCCTCAGCCCGACAGAAAGGAAGCCGTATGTCAAAGGGGAAAAGGAGGGACCCTTAACAAGGACCCCTAGGTATTTAAGGGATTAAAAAGGGTTCTATAAAGGGTTTAAGGTTCCTCTGATAATAATAATAAGGACCCCTAGGTATATACCCTTAATAGAGCTATGATATAGCCATTATATAGCCCATTATAGGGTAGGGGTCCCCGTTAAGGGTCCCTCCTTTTCCCCTTTGAGTATGGAACGCTGTCTACCGGAACCCTCGGCTCAAGAAGGCCCTCTTTGAGGAACCTTTCCTATATGGGAGTTTCCGAAAATTAGGGGTACCTTCAAGGGTTCCTTAAAGGGGTTCTGTAAAGGGTTTAGGGTTTAAAGCTTCCGAAAATTAGGGGTACCTGATTTGGGGGTCCTTATAATAAGGGTCCTACTATTTAGGGTACCATATTAGGGTCCCCCCTATTTTCGGAAACTCCCATATGCCCCCTCAGGGCTTCGGGCGTACTTGGAGGATCAGGGGACTTAGTAAGTAAGGTTATCAGTACCCCAATTGGGCTTCTAAGTCATTATAAGTATAGTTGCTTTACTTATAACACTAGTTACTAAGTCCCACGATCCTTTAAGTACCCTAAACCCCTATAGATCCCTTTAAGGAACCCTATAGATCCCTTTAAAGTTACTACGTCCCATGATCCGTTTAGCTTTGTTAAGGAACCGCAAAAGCTTCAAACAGGATCCCCGAGCTTTCGAGCCCTCGCCTGGCACTTTTGAGGGGCTCTTTCCAGAAACTCTTTTTTAAAGCAAGTGTAACCATAAGGGCTCCTTTAAGGGGTCTATAAGGGTTCTAGAAGGGCTTAGGGTTTAAGGCTCCCCTAAACCCTCAACCCCCAAAAATGGACAAATTCGACAAACTCTTTTTAAGCAACCCCTAAACCCTGAACCCTAAACTCTAAACCCTGAACCCCAAAACCAGGCACAGAGAGAATCTCCCAAGTATTGGCCCAGAAGCTGCTCATCAAGCTTGGAGAGAAGCTCTGCCTCATGAGCACAAGACTGTCTGGTGCTTACTAGGGAATGGGGGAATGGATCCCTAAAGTAGTCCCTATCTCTCTCTCTATCTATATATATATATATATATAGTGTATATATATATATATAGATATAGATATATACATATATATATATATATAATCCCCAATAAGAGTCTCCATAATCCAGTCCCCCATTCCCTACGAAGAACCAGGGGCAGAAGAAAGCCAGAGTAGTGTGGTAGCTCAAGGGCTCCTTTCTTACGGTTTAAGGATTTCAAGGCTTGGGCTTTAGGGATTAGGGCTTAGGTTTTAAGGTTTAGGTTTAGGGTTTGAGGTTTAGGGTTTAGGGGATCCTCTGCAGGGGCTCCTTTCTTGGGAGATCCTGTTGAAGGCTTCCTTTGAGCCGGCTCCTGCAGCCAGTCTTGGTGCGCCAAGAAGGAGCTACTGAATTTACAAGAGCCCTCCATTGAAAGGATCCTCTTCGGCTTCCTAGGGAACCCAATACCCCTCAAGGAATATGGCTTAAACTATAAAGGGGCTTCAGCTTCGCGAGCCAAAGCTCAGAAAACGAGCTACACAGGCAAGCGTGAGTGATGACAGTAGAAGGGTCAGGGTTTAGGGTTGTCAGGGTTTTCGGGTTGGGGGGTCAAGGATTTAGGGTTTGCTGACGCTTTTTAGGTTAACGGCGCACATCGTCATCATCAGCACCAGCAGCACCGTCATCATGTCCACAGCAGTGATGATGATGACGATGATCATCATCATCATCATCATCATCACCAACCTGTGTTGCAAATGGTAATGGTGGTGTTGGGGGTGACCACAACTGCCGCCGCCACGATACACTCCTATATACCTGTATGATTATACTTGTATATACTGTATATATTGTATATGCTGTATATACTGTATATACATGTATATACATGTATAATATAACCTTGCATATATTGTATATATGCCCGCGTGTAGGGTCCCTTTCTGTCCCTAAAGAGGCTCCGCCTTGAGGTCGCTCATCTCGCGCCGCAGCTTCGCCAACTCCTGATCCACATAGTCCCGCTCCACGAAAAGCTTCGGCATGGGACAGAAGGAACGAAGTTGGGGGGGGGGTCTTTACGGCGCGGAAAAAAAGGGGAGGGCGACAGAACGAACTCAGAGCTGAAGCTTCTGCAGCCAAGGCATGCCAAGTAAGCCAACGCTTCATCCCCCGTATTACTCCCTTTCAACGGAGACTCAGACTATAAGAAGCCCCAAAGAGTTTACTCTGAGACCTCGGGTTGCATGCTTCAGCCTTCTATGATCTACCTCGCTTCCGCTCTGCGAGCCGCCAACTGCTTCAGCCATGAGGGAGTTAATTCGGGGCGGTACCTTGCTTAGGTGTCCTTATAATAACGATCCTACTAGGGTACTATATCAGGGTCCCATATCTTAGGAAACAGCCATGGGAAGCTTCAGGACTTTGCAGGCTCAGCGTCGGTATGTGCTGTACTGGATCACTGCATCTCTTATTGTAACAGGCTGTATCATAATTTCTCATACTATGTCCGGTTAGATCTGGCTACGTATTGCTTTATCATATCCTATCACGTGATGTGGTATTCTACCGTGCTAGGTCTAATATTATTTCAACCCATGTGGGTGATTGTCAAAATTAGGGTCCTTTTCGGGTACCCTAAATCATAGGTGTGGTATTACAATAGAGACCCAAAAAGGATCATGATTTTGACAACCGCCCATGTGTCAACCGAGGGACCATGGCCGAACCTTGCTCTGAGCTCCCTGCCGCAAGGGCCCTGGGACCAGAAATGATCGGACGGTGATGACCTGCAGGTGGTAGAAGAATGCAAACATCATCATCTAGAGACATCTAATCTAGGGCCCATATTAATTAGAAGAGTACTATAATTATTCTATAATCAGGAACCCCCAAAGTAGTATGGTAAATAATTCGGCCCCTATAGCAAAGGCCCTCCAAACACTTCTTGCTTGTGATACGGACAAAAAGCTTGCGCACTCCTCACAGTGCAGCCCTCGGGCTGACGGCTGTTGGGCCCTCGAAGCGCTGACATTCCCTCATACCGGGAACCCTGGGAGAGGAGTGCTTCAGGTTTGCCCTGATACCGGGACCGCTGGGAGAGGAATGCTTGAGGTTTCCAACTTGGATGCACAGCTTCTGAGGACGCCACACAGGTGGTCCCCTTTCTGTCGAGACCCGACGTGTCCGCAACCTGGCGGCTTTGGGTTTCTATATACTGGAGATGAGCAGCTTAAGGAGGCATGCCCGGCCGACGAAAACCAACGCAATCCCAAGGGGGCCTTTGCGAGTCCTGCTCGGGACTCCTGAGCTGTGGGGTATCGCTTGGTGGTGCAGCCTTCCGAAACTCGTCTTCGCCACGATAACAGAGCTTGGCGGGCATGCTACTCCTAAGCTCTCCACACCCTGAGGGTCTGGCTGCAGTAGCGGCCAGGGTATAGTACGGTATAGTCTGGCATAGTATGGCACAATGTAATACAACAGTTGTATGGTACAGTACTGGTACTGATCGTAGACTCTCATCTGCTCGTTTGTTTCCGAGAACTGCAGAGGCTACAACGCTCGGCCTGGTATGTGTAGCAGCAAGGCTTGGCCTTGGCTCTATAATCCGAAAGAGAGCGGAGAAGACACGTTGGAGTTGGCTACACTTACTACAGCCTCCTTCCGCTTCTTGGTTTAAGGTTAGGAAGCTTAGGGCCTACAACTTCCCTCCAAAAGCTTGAAACTCGGACTAGGCACCTTTCTGCCGAGACTCTCGGCCGAGACCTGACAGCAACCGCCACAAAGTAGCAAAGGATGAGAATGACCGGCTCTACAACATGCATATCCAGTTGGCTCTTCTCATGAAAGCTGCTCAGGTACTGTTGGCAGAGTAGAGAAAGCGGCATTGGCGGCCTCCACACGCCTCTGCAAGAGATCGGTCGGCCGTAGCCCGCCGCCTGCGACGAGTCGGGACGCAACCCTCACGAGACCTGCGAAGGAAAGCAGCTCTCAACACCCCAGCGCGGCATCCACATTTTGGATTCTGGTCGAAGAGCGCCATCCTCCGTGCCCCTAAGAGAAAGGGAATCTACGGCAGCCGCACCTGCGCAGGTCATGGGCTCATGATCGTGATCTCAGCTCGAGTGCCCCAACATCCCGATCCCCCGATCTCCCTCTGTGTTTGCTACTTAGCGATCTCCACCGGCCTCTGGAAAAAGGCCAAGAGCAAGAAATGATGGATTCAGATTCCTTCAAATGGCAGTGCAGCATGCCCACTTTTTGAGAACGGACATCAGCCAGGACTGGGGCTTTGCCTTGGGCAGCGAACGCCGTTGGAGCTGGGCCGTCGGCTGCTGGGTCGCTGTGGGCGCTTTGGGCTCTGGCTGGGTCGCTTTGGGCTGCGGCTGGGTCGCTTTGGGCTGCCCTTGCGGGCCGCACTTAGAGCTGATGCGGATCTGCAACTCTTTGAAATGCTCCCTCAAAGCCATGCACCTGTGTTGGCACGAGCGGTTGCAGGCATCTCTTCAAAAGCAGCTACAGTGCTGCTAGGCAAATAATGCAACGAAGAGGTGACTATCTTACGATTGAATTTTACACTTGAGTTGAGAACGAGAGCCTCCGCTTCTCTTTTTCCAACTCCTTCTCGTGGTCACCCCGCAACCGTTGGATCTCCCCGTCAACTGCTTCGATGTCCCCGCTAATGCGCTCAACTGAAGACTGGGAAGATAAAATCGCGGCCAGCATACCTCCAGTTGCCGCTGCAGCGCACATCCCGGAAATCCCGAACGTGAAAAAGGCTAGCGTAGCGCCAGTTGTCAGTGTCGCAACCGATGCTGTGCTCAGGTCGTTAATGCGATTTTCATGCCACGTCATGTCCTTCTCGAGGCATTGCTTCTCAGACTCTTTTGCGGCGAGCTGTTGCTCCTGGAATTCCTTTGCACTTATCGCACCCGTTTCCAAGTCCTCGTAGTATGTGTTGAGCTCGTCCCAGGTGCGTATGCTGCCAGCCTGCTGGTCTGTCAGGGGGGTGTCGAACTTCGCAATAGCAAGCTTGAGTGTCTTTATTCCTTCGTGACTGCCGACAAGGTTCCATGAATAATTCCGGAAGCCCTCCACTTTGTCTTCGCCCAGCAAGCACTTCACCACGTAACGCACAGCTGCATCAACCTTTTTCGCCTGGACCTGCTCGATGTCCTCCTCTTCCTCTCCATCATTTGCAAGCGAAAATTCGTCAGGCACCCTATTCACGAAGACGTGGAGCTTGGACTCAGTGAGCTGCCCATTCCAGCACTCTTTAGCGGCCTGGAGCGCCAGCTCCATGTCATTGCCAAACCTGCCAACGGCATCAACGACCCAAACTACCCCGTGCGGACGGTTTTCCCTTGCGAAGGACATGACCTCGTTCAGAAAATTGACCGATCTGCCCATCGTGTCGGGCACTCCTGGCGTGTCTGTCACATAGAGCGTCATCTGGCCTTCATCCCCTCTCGAATTGAGGTAGTACTTGACGGGGTTTCTTGAACGCTTTGTTAGCACCTTGCAGGGGGTTCCAAGCACGACACTGGCACCTGCCGCACACTTCTATTGGAAGCCGAGTCGGGGCAGCATCGGCAACGCGAACCCCAACCAACACCCATGCACCTTGGTGGAGCAAGAGTCGAAGTCGCTGCGAGAGATCACGCCATAGTTCGGATCTTCTTCCTGTTGCGAAGTCTTTGGTACCGGCAGAAGCGTGAGCTTGTTGTTCACAAAAGACTTTCCGCTGCCAGTTTGGCCGCAGATCATTACTTTTCGCTCTATCACGACCATGGGAAGGGCAGTCACGAGGCCTAAGGCAAAGGGCCCGGTGCCTCTTCACGGCTTCGACCTGCAGAATACAAGCTATGGAGGCCGCTGCAATGCAAAGGACCCGCTGTCGTCCACATGGTGCCTTGGACCCCCCACACCCTCGACAAGACACGGTGTGCACAGGACCGCACCCCTGCACCCACAACAAGTTGGAAACTCACGCTGACCGCACGAACAGAAAAGAGCAGCTCTCAACATGCTTTTGCACCCAGATATTGGACGCTGCGCGATCCGCCGCGCGCCTGAGTTGCCGCGCCGGCGCAGAGAAACACATCTGCGGCGGCTGCACCTTGACCCCGATCTCTCCATTCCTGCACATGTAAGAAGTCTGGGCGGGTCTGGTCACTCCTCTGAACCAGGCCGTCCCTTCAATCAGCAGAGATGTGGGGGATGCGGACTGAAGCTATTGTCTAGAAGTACTACACCATGACGCAAGTAACATCAACTTCGGCAACGGGGCCAATCAGACGCAGAACGCTCCAATTTCGATGCATTCGAGGAAACTTCATCAAGCTCAATGCCAATCAAACCTAACACAAACGGTCAAGACCCCTTCAGCATTCCTTTCCGGATTCCTCCCGAGCGTGGTTCGTCAAGTCAAGGTAATCTGCTGCATCATCACCTAGACACATCTTGCCAAACATGAGCGCAACCCGCTTCGAACTGTTGTTGCAAGTGTTGATCTCAAACCGGAGTCTTTCAATCACAAGCGAACCCAATACTGCACAAGCTCTGCTCTGCATGTTCTGCGGCACAGGAACCATCCAAGCAATGGTTGCGCGGGCGGAGATGCTTCTTTTTTTCCACCCCGACCTACACACTCCGATGCCCACAAAAGCACATGGGTCATAGCTGCACTGCTACGTAATCGTGGTTAGTCAGGTATGCCACAGGAAGAGCAAAGACTTCGCCTGTTGGTGACAATTACGAACGGTTTCCTCCAAACTTCGTTGGTGCTTGGCTGAGGCTTCTCATACACCTTCCACGCCTCGCACAGCTCCCATGGACTCCCACGACAAGCCTGCGCTCTTCTGATAGCTTGAAGACCCTTGATACTCTGATGATCGCAGAAAATCTGGCAGTGGAACAAAAGCAGCGCAGGCACCATCCATGTAGCAAACATCGTCATGGTGACTGCGGTATCACGTGTCTCGGGCATTTTTGCAAAGCAAGGAGCGCAATCACGCAGGCAAGCACAAGCATAGTTGATCAGCTAATCCCTCTTCACTGCGGAGCAAAAGCATGGCAAGAAAGGATGTATGGCTGGCGGGAACTGCCGGGCAGGGTGGGCAGGTTTCCGGTGTTTGAGGGTTGGGTCCAGTCTCATCAGGAACACCTTACACAGCTTTGTTGGATTGCTTTGACTACAGTGACACCGGGAGAAAGTGAAAGCACAGATTGAAATCATCAGGAAGAGCTCGAGTATGTGCTCTCCCGACAACCTCTGCCCCTCAACCTCAAAACCCCAAACCCTAACGTCCCAACCCTTACCAATGCCTCTATACATTGCAACTGCTTCTGCGACTTTGGTATCTAGACACGGGTCTTGCGAGGTGTGGTGGCGATAATGGCAGATGGATGTTGCATGCTGCTGCGGTCGTATCATATAGTGCGCAGACATGATGTGCAACATTAGCACGAGTAAAAGCTTCTCCATCTAGACGCGTGATGACATGTGTAGCGCTTGGGTCCGCTGACCTGCCGTGGGACCTCGGCTGCATGTGCCTCCACCACAAAACCCAATGCAGTGAAAGCTTCCACAACGTGTCAGCAGACTTCTGACACTTGACTAAAGAGATAACCTGGCGATGGCATCTGCCTCCAAGTATATGCAGCAGAAACCGCAGTTCGTTGTCTGCTTCAGAGACAGAACCAGAAGTGCAAGCAACACATCACGCATCATTCAATGGTCCGCGACGATCCCGGCTTTCGGTTTTTCTGTGCCACTGCTCTCCGGGCCTTGCTTCGGCATCCCTCGTCCCTCCTCACAGGCTCCTCGCAGCACGCATCAATTGTATGAATGCATGACGTGCTCAATGATACGGCCCTGCATCGGCGCTGAGATCAAACTACATCTGGGAGAGCTTCGAGTCGCAGAGTGCACAGAGGACCGATGAGTCCATGTTCCATGTCCTTTTGCCCCCGTAGCGCAAGCTTGAGCTGGCTTCAGCTCGCGACGCGGACTTTTAAAAGAGCTACAAACTTCGACCAAAGTCGAATCCGGCACCTGTCTGCGCTTCTGCTAGCACACCTGCGCGGAGAAAGACACCTGCAGCAGCCGCACCTGCGCAGTTCGTGGGCTCATGATCGTGATCTCAGCTCGAGTGCCCCAACCTCCCGATCCCCCGATCTCCACCGGCCTCTTGAAGGGGGCCAAGAGCAAGAAATGATTATCTGGTCAAGTGGCTGCCTTGGGCATCAGGGGCTGTGGCTCTGGGGCTGCGTCGCTGCCGGTGACGAGCGCTCCAGCGGGCCGCACTCAGAGCTGATGCGGGTCTGCAACTCTTTGAAATGCTTCCTCAAAGCCATGCACCTTTGTTGGCACCAGCGAGTGGCAATCAGCTGCACAAAGGAGCAGCTACAGTGCTGCCAGGCAAGTAATGCAACAAAGAGGAGACTGTCTTACGATTGAATATTACACTGGCCACGAAAGGTAGGGCAAAAAAACGAAGCAGAGTCGATCCAGAGCTCGGTCGCTAGTGCGTGCATGCTCGGCAGCGTGGATGCAAGCACATATGTGTTGCCATAAGGCTACAAGCAGCAAGATGATAGCGTTCGCTTGCTTTACACTGGCCCACATGCAGATACACCCTTGTCATACCGTGGTACCTTGACCGACCGCATTGACTTCCGGAATGTCCCTGCGTAAGCAATAGCTCCGTCATCTACGAGCAGCTTCAAACTGTCCTGGTGGCAGCTCAGCTCAGTGCTATCCCGATCGAAAAATCCCCGACAGGACTGCTTGTTCCTCTGTGTGACCTCTGGCTGCCTCACCCCCCCCTCCCCCCCGCCCCGCGCCTCATATGTATCCCCCACTCCTGTGAAAGTATCTGTGTTCAGGAAAGGCCCTTAAACCTAATGACTTGCTCTTGCACGGACAGCAGACTGTTTTCACTGCTACGCAGAGAGAGCTACGTGTCTTGAACCATTTGAGACAGAACGGGCCATACAATTTTTTCATTTGCTGTAAGTACCTGTCATCCCGCCTCGGGGCGTGGAGGATTTTGGGTTTCACCCCCGGCCCCTGTCCCGGAGTCTCGGCTGTCGGCCCTTCAACACTCTTGTTTTTGGTTTGGTTACTGCCTTTTAGTACATGTGCACCCACCCCTTTCTTTTATGTGAACCTTTGAATGAGCCCCAAGGTCCCACATTTTCGCGTCTTGCAATGGACTTGCTACCCCCCCACTCACCCGCTCCCTTTCCCCGGGCCGCACTCCCCCCCCTGCCCCCAGATAGGTAGCCCCCACTCCTGTGGGAGTATCTGGGTTCAGGATAAGTGTTGAAATGCTTCTCACTGCATGCCCAGGTATCAGGTTAGACAGGTGTGTAGTCTACTTGAAGGGATTGCCGGCACTTGTATAGTTTCCTTCAGGTAGGCTTGTACATGTGTGTTTCCTGTATCCTTTGGCTTAGGGGAAGGCTGCGTAGGAAAGCCTCTTGAGCCATGTGTACTGTAACCAACAACTTGTAAAGCTGTACAGGTCGTTTGTTGGTTTGTCGGTTCTCTTTTTGCTTCGTTGAGATCGTGAGTCGCCTCTGCGCCCAGCCATAGAAAACATTCTGCGTGAGCTTCGCTGCAGGGTATGGCCACCCAGGGTGAACACCTTCAACAGGTGATGAGCCCAACGCCTGGGCCAGAAGCAACCGGAGCGGTGGCTTCTCCGGCCTCTCTGCCTGGAGTGCGGGGAGGCGGGGATGCACCGCAGACTACAGTGAATGGTACAACCGCCGGAGTTGGAGTGCCATCGCCCTCTGGGCTTGCGCAGCCTATTGGGGATGGAATCCAGCAAACTATGATGGATGCGTCGTCGGGGCCATCGACTTCCACAGCTGGTCTAGTGCCATCCCCTCAGCTGCCACAAGAAACTGTTGGAACAGCCGGCCAACCGAGAGTTTCAGCAGTCGGTAGGACAGGAGGCGATGGAACACTAGGCCAGGTTGGAGGCTTGGGCACAGCTGGCGTTACGTATGAAGCAGTATCTACCACGGAGGTCGCTGATGCGAGTGGGGTACATGGAGATGCAACTGCAGTGACTCAGGGTTTCAGTGTGGCCACCGAAAGTGGAATGGCTAGCGCTCAGATCAATGTTGCCGCAGGCGTCTCAGGGTACAACCCATCTGCAGCGAATCCTGGAAGTAGTGCTGAGGGCTTTGAAACGCCCAGATCAACGGCGTACGGGGCGTCAGCGGTCATGCAGACTGGGGCTCAGGCTTTCGCTAGTCAGTTGCTAGGAAGAGTGCAGTCTCTGTTTGGTGGCGCGGCAAACGTACAGCCACTGCCGCAAGGGTGGGCTCCCAGTCCACTGACTTCTCCTCCAAGGCCGTCGCGACCACTACAGCCCCTCGAGAGAGGAGGCCGCGTCCTGCAAGATGAGTGTCAAGTGCCGATGCCGTTGTTCACTGGTGCCAACGCGCAGCAGCTTGCTGCCATGGAGCAAAGAGCTCCCTTGCTCTACGGGTCCGGGTCTCCGGACAGGCCTCCGCACACCGAGTCCTCATCTATTCCGCATGATGCGATTCAGGCAGAAGTCGCGCGACAGCTTGATGGGTTGAAGCAGCAACTGCGAGCTGAGCAAGAGAGAGCTGGTCGTGCTGAGGCCGAACTCTCGAGGATTCGGTCTCAGCAGGCTGGTGAAGTTGAGGCTACGGCGTTGCAGCAGGTGGGTACTAGGGAGGTTGGCTTTAGTGGGTTTGGTGATAGTGGGTTCGGTTCGCATCCTGTCGCCAACACTGGGGTTGGA